TGTAAATAATCTAAAGAAAATATTTGCAAATCAAATACAATATATGAAGAGATAATAAATGATGACTAAGTTGGATTTATACTATTTCTGCAGATATAGCTTAATTAGAAAATTCTGTAAGTAAAACCACACATCTCAATTTAAAGATTAAAAAAGAAAATCGTGCCATTGTTTAAAAACACACAAAAAGGAATTTAATATAAATTAATGAAATAAAGGCCAGTAAATAAGAAATGAAAGAAAACTTTTAACAATGATAGTCTATCTGAATATCTATAGAATACCTAGTACAAACAATAGAAAACACTAATATTATTTCCTCAAAGACCTAGAATGAGAGAAAGATGTCACTATTATTTCTATTCAACACTGTATTGGAGATAATAGCCAATGCAATAAAAAAAATAAAATCATAGAATTGAGAAAGAGGACTATGAAAGTAACTCAGCAGTAAAGCATGCAATTAGGAGGATGAAGAGAGAGGGAAAGAAAGGGCAAGAAGGAGGGAGAGAAGGACAGAGACAGAGACAGGGACAGAGAGAAATTTCTGCAGAAACTCTGAGGTTACACAATGCTTATTGAAGAGAAAGATTTGACATCCAGAAAGATATCATTTTGAGCCGTTGTCAATTCAATTCAAATCCTAAAAGATGCTTTGCGCTACTTGAGCCTCTGATTTCAAAATTTGTGGGAATGTGTGAAGGCCCAAGAATAACCAAGACACTTGTGGGAAAAGAACAGAGAATGGAAAGCTTGCCTTATGAAATATTATGACTTATTGGGAACCTAACTAATTAAGAAAGCTGGCATGGGTATAACAACAGGCACAATGCCAATGATGGGACAAAAATAATAATAAACCAGAAAATTTTATGGAGGACAGAGGTGATAACGTTTGAGCAACTGAGGAAATGACTGCTTGGTAAGTGAAGCTGGAAAAATGGATCTAGACTCATAAAGAAAAGAAACTATCAGGCTGGGGAGATGGCTCAGTAGAATAAGTGCTTGCCTGGCAAGCACAAGGTCCTGAGTTCAATCTCCAGTACTGAAAAAAGAAAAATGATCTTTCCTGTGTCATTTATTTTTTAGGTTTTATTTTTTTATTATTTTATTGAGAAACAAGTAGCAATAAGACAGTTTCAAAACTGATTAATAAGACTGTTTCAATAATTAATACATTGTACATTGTTATCTTCTT